CGTGGATGGTGCCTGGGCCGCGCGAAGACGCTCGCACTCAGCGCGTCCCAGGCGGGTGCAGGTGCGCCTGCGCACCCGCAGCCTCTACGCACAGATCTGGCTCGCCCGCCCGTGGTCCAGCCCCTCTCCGACTGCTGCAACCCGCGTCCCAACCCCGGGTGAAGCAGAAGGAGCTGGAGCCTGTGTTCTTGTCCGCCCTCACCCAGAAACTACTGAATAGACCAGCTCTTCTGCGCCAAGAACAGCCACGTGAATGTTTCCGTGGGGAGGTTTGAAACCCTTGACAAAATGGAAATATCTGTATCACTTTCTGTTGTTGTTCAAACAACGTTGGTATTAAAAGAATCCACACCCATACCACTGTTCCTTAATAAGAAGTACGCAGAAAAGACCGAAAATGGAATGGAATCCGATGTTTTATTAAGAGAATACCACGATCAGGTAAGTTTTTGTTCTGGTGTTCAGTAAGTTCTTATGGTCATCCCTTTCCTTATATTTCTGGAATTCCAGAAAACACACAAAAACAAAATAATTATCTATAGTCTCGCCAAGCAGAGATAACCATTGCTACCATTTGGTGCATACACGTACCTACACACACTCACACACAGCAGTTTTTAAATGCATTTTATGGTTGTTATTTTTTTTTTTTTTTGCAAAACTGACCATACTGTAATTGATGTATTTTTGTCTTCTCAACAAAATAGTAGTATATCATTCCAAATACATACTTCACATCAGTAGTTACAAAAATAACAATTTAGAAAACAGCATAAAACTATATAGTTGCTAGCCGTTATGAGTTGAATGTTTGTCTGTCTTCATCTACTCCCCCAAATTCGTCTGCTGAAACCCCAACCCGTGTAGCTGTATTTGGGAAAAGGAAGTCATTAAATGAGACGATAGAGGTGGGGCCCTAATGCTTTAGGATCAGTGTTCTTATGAGCAGACACGCCAGAGGGCTCACTCTCTTGAAGGTGCAGGCCCCGAGGAGAGGTCATGGGGAGGACTCAGGAAGAAGGCACTTCCTACAACACAAGCCAGGAAAAGAGCCCTCCCCCCAGAATGTGCCCTGCTAGCCCTTGATCTGACTTCTAGCTCTCAGAACTGTGAGAAAATAAGTTTCTGTTGTTTAAGCCACCCAGTCTGTGATGTTTTGTTACAGCAGCCCAAGAAGACTAATCCATCAGCATATAGTATGTGCAGAATGAGGCTGTGTTCTACGTGCAGATTTTAACTGATTTAGTCCTCATAAGAACCAACCCCTTGAGGTATTATTATTACCCCCAGTTTGCAAATCAGAAAACTGGGGCTTGAAGAAGTTATGTAACTTGCCCTACATCACGCAACTTGCAAGTGGTAAATCCCGGCAGGCTATGCACCTATCCACTACCCCAAAATATAGCATAAAATAGAGTAAATGGTATATAAATGGTCGAGTCTATGTAGTGGTACATGGATGCTTACTGTAAAATTCTTTCAACTTTTCTGCATGTTTAAATATTTTCATAATATTGAAAAAATACACCTAAAAATAAACAAGAATGATGTAGGACATTATGAACAAGTTATTGATTTAAACAGAGAAACCAGTGACATACACCATATTCATAGATTGAAATAGAACATTCTAAATATGTTACTTTCCTCCGCTTTAATACTCCCCAATCAAAATCTCAGCTTTTCTTTTTGCTAAGTTCAATGATTCTAAAGTGTTCCAGAATGGCCCAGTAAAAATTTCCATCAATAGCCCTGGCTGGTGTGGCTCAGTGGATTGAGTGCCAGCCTGTGAACCAAAGGGTCACTGGTTCGATTCCCAGTCGATGCCTGGGTTGCAGGCCAGGTCCCCAGTAGGGTGTGCGTGAGAGGCAACCACACATTGATGTTTCTCTCCCTCTCTTTCTCCCTCCCTTCACCTCTGTAAAATAAATAAATACAATCTTCAAAAAAAATTTTCCAACAATAATGAAGTCAGAATTGCCCTACCAATAAGATATTATCTTGTATTATAGAGGCACAAAAATAAAAATAAAAAAGTAGCCCTGGCTGGCATTGCTCAGTGGATTGAGCGTGGGCTGTGAACCAAAGTGTTGCAGGTTCAATTCTCAGTCAGGGCACATGCCTGGGTTGCAGGCCACGGCCCCCAGCAACCGTACATTGATATTTTTCTCTCTCTCTCCTTCTCCCTCCCTTCCCTCTCTAAAAATAAATAAATAAAATCTTAAAAAAATAAAAATAAAATAGTGCCAAAATATACTCATAAATTAGTGAAATTAAATTGGAAACCCACAAACAGACTTGAGAATTTAAATTTAATATATTATAAAAGTGACATTTCAAATTAGCGGGGTAATGTCGGATTATTCAGTAAAGAACATCAGGACAACTAGATAGCTACTTGAAAACTGAGTAGACACCTTACCAAAAAAAGATGCACAGGTGTCAAGTAAACATATGAAAAGATGTTCAACATTACATATTAGGGAATTAGACATTAAAACAACAATGAAATACCACTACATACCTACCAGGATGGCCAAAATCCAAAACACTGACCACACCAAGTGCTGGCAAGGATGTGCAGCCATGGAAACTCTCATTCATTGCTTGTGGGATGGAAAATGGTGCAGGCACTTTTGCAGACAGTGTGGCAATTTCTTATAAGACTAAACATACTCGGCATATAATCCAGTAGTCATGCTCCTTGGTACTTACCCAAATAAACTGGAAATTTATGTCCACAAAAAACCTGCATGAAAATGTTTATGGTAACTTTATTTATAATTGCCAGAACTTGGAAACAACAAAAATGTCCTTCAGTAAGTGAGTAGGTAAATAAATCGTGGCCCATCCAGACAATGGAACACCATTCAGTTGTAAAAACAAATGAGCTATCAAGCCATGAAAAGACTTGGAGGAAACTTAAATGCATATTATTAAGGGAAATCGCCAATTTGAAAAGGCTACATACAGTATGATTTCAACTATATGACATTTTTTAAAAAGCACAACTGTGGAGAGAGTAAAAAAAGAAAAGAAAGATAGAAAAACATCTGTGGTTGCCAGGAATTAGATGGAAGAAATAAATAGGCAGACCACACAAGATTTTTAGGATGGTGAAACTATTCCGTATGATATTATGATGTCACCATACAGTTGTCAAAACCCGTAAAATGTACATCGAGAGTGAACCCTAATGTAAGTTAGGGATTTGTGGCAATAATGGTGTGTCAACGTAGGTTAATCAATTGTGGCAAATGCGCCGACCACTCTGGTGCAAGGTCAGAAGGGGAGGAGGTCAGGGTGGGGAGGCCAGGGGTACATTTTGCGGCTAACCTAAAACTGCTCTAAAATATATAGTGATTTTTTAAAAAAGTCTTTAGCACAAGACTTTTCAGAGCCATCACTATTGGGATATTGTATCCCAGACGCACAAGAGGCATAGAACACGCAGTCTTCCCAAACCTGTCTCAGCGTTCTTGCGGAACACCTTTGAACATCTCACCTACGGCTCCACTCTCCTCTGTCCCGACCACCGTGGCCTTTGTTCAGCTCTTCTCCTCCCTCTGGTCCCCTAGATCTGGTCTTGTTTCTGCAAATACTGCTCTCAGTAGCTGCCTAAAGCTCACATCCGACCATGTCACTCGCTGCCTACAACACTTCAGGCTGAATTTCCCGTGGTACAGGAACCCCCTGCAATCTGGCCCAACCCCACCTGTCTTTCCTCTCACTGCACCCTGATTCACGTTCCTCAGAAGCATCAGACTGCTGTGCTTCCCCGAGTGTTCTGTGCCCTCGTAGGGCTCTCAGTCTTTTCACACGGTGTTCTCTGTCTGGAGCATTCTTCTGCCCACCCCAGCCCACCCACTGGTTAATCACCATCTATCCTGCAAGTCTACTGCCCCATGAGACTGTGAGCTTCTTAAGAGTAGGGACTATGTCAAATTCACTTTTTCTTATCTCTTCTTTCCAAATTCTAAAAGCTGATGGGCACTAAGGCTCGGTCCTCTTCTCATTGGGCTTTCTTGGATGACAGCATCCAGTCTCAGGGATTTATATGCCATCAGCACCCTAGTAGCTCCCAGACTCATACTTCTAGCCAAGCAGTATCCACTGCAGATGCTTACCCTTGTTCTGCTCTCTTTCTAGATCCCCACATAGCTGGCTGCTTACTCAGGCCTTAGTTCAAAGGTCACCTCCTCCTGACTTCTGCATGTAATGGTCGCATGCCCACTTTCCCCCCTTCACCTGCCTTACCTCGTATTATGTTTGAAATAAAGTAATTTATTTACTTGTTTATTGTCCACCTCCTTTACTGCCAGCATGAGAGATTGGGGAGTTTTGACTCATTGCTTTATTCCAGAGCCTAAGACGACAGTGTTTGGCACATGGTAAACACTTACCTAACATTAGTTGAATGAATTCATGCCTAACATAGGTCTGGCACATACGCCTTGCTAACGTTTCAGTGCTGTGTGCCTGATGCTGTGCTGCGTGCACCACAGGAACTGCGTCATTTAACCCTCAGTGTTGCCGTTGGCCCCGTCTCACACCGAGACATGGAATGTAGCAGTCAGCCCAGGTCACAGAGTAAGAAGGGATATGAACATTGGCAGCATGAGCCAGAGTTCGCTGTCCTAGCCGCTGTGCTCTCCTCTCACATCTGGAAGTACTGGAATGGTGTATTCAGAGGGAGGGAGGGAGGCGGGAGGGAGGGAGGGAAGTCCCCCGGGAGGGAAGGAGGATGGACGAGTGGGGGCTGGGGGTGGTACTTCCAGTTCTGGTGTCCTGTGATGCTAGCAGGTGCAGATTCCCACAGTTCCCAAGCTCAGTCTCTAGGCACCACTGGATAAACGCCCCCTTTCCGACTGCCTGAGCCTGGGCCTGGCCCTTGGGTTGCCCATACAGAATATTTTTTAACTACAGGGAACTGACCCAAAAAGCAGAAAATGTGGGTGAATTCACCCTCCTCCAAGAGCGACACACAGTAACAGCAAGCAGTCCTTCCCTGCAATATTTATTAAGGAATTTACACATACACAGGAGAAAGGCAACCAGAAATTGTGGTTCCCACAGTTGAAATCTTTTAAGCAAAGTTTTCTTGTTTTAATTTTCAAGTAGGGTGAAGAGTGACTGAGAGGAAAGCTGTCCAGGCTCTCTGCCTCGTACACCTGGAGCAGGTGGGGAAACAGAGCAGCCAGGGAGACACAGGTATAAAAGAGTGATTGGCAGGTTGGGAGAGGGGAAAGGAGGACGAGAGCCATCAGTGAGATTGCACTTTTTTAACTATAAGAAAAACTGGCAAGCCAGTTTCAGGCTGTTGATAAATTATTTCCTCTCTGTTGTAAACCTAAACCTGAAAAAACAAAAACAAAAATACCCAGAGCAGATGGGGGGAGAGTGGGAGGTGGAATCCACGCACACACACACGCACACACGCACGCACGCAGTGCACACGTTAAGCTCTGCATTCCCTCTGGTGGGGCCGGTGCTCCAGCCGCAGGCAAGGCGGAGGCAGGGAAAGGGCTGTGTGTTTTCTGTGGGACCTTCATAGAGTCTTTGGTGCTAACAAAGGCTGACAGAAGCAGCGAGTCCCGATGCCTCAGATCCAGAAAGCAACTCTGGGCTCAGGAGGGTAACATTTTTGTTCATCCTCATAGATGGGGGTTCGTCTCTCCCCAGGGGTAGGCCCAACCTGATCTAAGACCCAAGAAGTATTTAATTTTATTTCAGTACATTCTTAATTCCCATAAATCATGGGAACATGATGCTTCCCGCTTTAACCAATAATTTAAACATGTAGAAATAGTTTATTAACACACATGGAAGTAGCTCTAAACCCTCCCCTCTTTGCCTAAAACAATACCTACATGCCCCTCCAACAGTCTGAAAGGAGGGTTAACCTTGTGGGAAAGGTACTCAAAAGTGTGCACATTCCTTCCGCAGTATTAAGTGCCTTCTGCCAACAATTCCTAAGGTGCTGGTGTGGGGGAGCACTGGGGGTGCTGGGGAGGAGGTCAGGATAGCTCGGGGACATGTACAACGTAAAGCAACAGAGAGGTCTGTGTGTTTGGGAAGTGGCTGTGCTGGGCAGAATGCCAAATCCCAAATGACAGACTGAGCAATTTCTAAACCAAACAGAGAGAGGTGGGAGAAGGGGGGGGCTGGAAGAGTTGGGGAAAGAGGAGCAAGGGGCAGAGAGGGCGGAGGAGAGGGGCAGCCGCACAGGTGTTCTGTTTTTATTTCCACATCTGCGGGCTGAGAGTCTGATTTGCTGCCTGTCCATTTCCGCCGCTCATCGACTGTCCATAGCTCAGCATGCCATTGGCTCCACAGAAGTTCATCCCTGCCATCTGCTGGGTCATCTGAAAGGGAGAGAGGAGACTTTCAGACGAGGATGTGGGCATGCAGCCAGCTAGTGCAAAAGGCAGGGTAGGAGTCCTTCCGTCTGCGGGGATGGGGAGGAGGAGGCAAAGGGGAACTCTGTCGTGGCACATAAGTGCCCTGAACCGCAATAGATCATTTCAAAGACACCAGAGCTCGTAAATGAAGGACTGCTCAGAAAAGACGTGTTGACAGAGACTGATGCTCAGGGAGGGAGAGACGGAGTCCTGCGGCTAGGCCACAGAAGAGCAGCATGGGAAGTGGCTCTCTCCTTCCTTTCCAGGCTCTCATCCTAAACAGAAGGAGCCTATTGTTAATTTGCCGAGGCCAGCCCTGAGAGCAGGGAGAGACCCCCACGCCAGCGCTCCTGTCTTCTCTCCAGCAGAGAGTTATTACTGCCAGTGAAAGTGCTTGTTGCACACTCCAGAGAAAAAGAAAATGGACTGTTCAGGAAGAACAAAGGCAGGCCAATAAAAAAAAAAAAAAGACCAACGTGTCTTGAGTGTGTGAGAAGGGAAATTGGGCGACCGGAGCCCCTGGAATAGGGCCCGGGTGGGGTCGGGGCCTCTCTATGGGTTGCTTTGAAAGACTAGCCGCTGCAGTGAACAGAAGAAACAATTTATCAAAGCAAAATGCCTTAAATTTCCTATGCCTAGTACATTTTCCCCAGAAGCTTTTTCTTTAGGTCTGTTTTTCTTCCACCAACCTTTAATTTCAAGCTTACAGGAAATTTGAAAGAAATAGTACAATGAAACCCATTAAGAAACCCCTTTCTTACATTCACCAATTATCAGCATTTCACCATATTCTCTGGCCCATCTGCATAAACTGTAAACAATGTTGATGGGCACTGGAAACTGTGGGTATGGGACCTTTCACCCCGGAAGTCAGGATGCATTTCATAAGAAATAACCCTCTCCTAGAACCACAACGCAATCAACACACTCAAGAAATGCAAGATCAATACAATATTTGATACACGCTTCATTTTCAGATCTCTTTGGTCTACTTTAATCTAGAACACTTCCCCTGTCTCATTTTTCCTTTTTCCTGACATTGTTTTAAGAAGCCAGCTACTTACTTAACAGAAAATCCCTCAATTTGGATACTATATCATGTTTTCTTATGGTTGGATCCATTTTTGGCAAGAATTCTACGTCAGTGATATTGTGTGCTTCTTAAGTCTTCGTACAAGATGCCAGAAAGCACGCGATATTAAGTTGTTCCATCGCTGGTGATTTTACGCTGGATCATCAGGCCTAGGTAGTAGCTGTCATTGTGTTTTTCCATTGTAATTAATACATAATCTGAACCATATTTCTTTGAGAATATGTGAATACCCTGTTTTTCTACAATTATTAGTAGTCATTCTGCAGTAAAGGCTTTCTCTCCCTGTATCCCACACCCATTTAAAAATATATGTCACTATGGACACATGGATGTTTTTCCTGCAGCGTGTTCTAGTCTATTAGTGCCTTTCTTAGTTCAAGAGCACCCTCTTCTGTTGGCATAGTGAACTGAGTGTTTTGAGGAGGGGAGGACCGTGTGTTTCTGATTTTGGGACTCTTCCACTTCCTGTCACCACCAGGCCTCCAGAGGGCATGTCCTCCTCTTCAGTCATCCCGTCGCCCGAGAAGCAGTGCTTCCCGAGGCCACCGTCTATAATCCTGTATATTTCAGTCCCTTATTTCTGATTCTCCAAATAACCAAAGTCCTTACCTACCAGGCCTCAGACCTCTTCTCAACTTGTCTCCAATCTGGGTCGGTCTTCCTCTTTCTAGAGGATGATCTTGTCTGTCTTCTATCACCTCTGGCCTCCTGTTCCCTTTCCTCTTTTCTTTTTCAATTTTAGATTTTATTTATTTGTTTTTAGAGAAAGGGAGGGAGAGAAACATAAATGTGCAGTTGCCTCTCATGTGCCCCCAACTGGGGACCTGGCCCACAACCCAGGCACGTGCCCTGACTGGGAATCAAACCAGTGACCCTTTGGTTCACAGGCTGGCGCTCAATCCACTGAGCCACACCAGCCAGGGCTCTTTTTTTGTTGTTGTTTTGTTTTGTTTTGTTTTAGAGAGAGAAAGAGAAAGAGAGATCAGTATGTCATTCCACTTATTGATGCATTCATTGGTTAATTCTTGAATGTGCCCTGACCAAGGATCGAACCCACAACTTTGGGATGATTCTCTAATCAACTGAGCTACCCGGTTAGGGTCCCTCTCCTCTCTTCACAGCCTTCTCCGTGATGCTGGCTCCGCTGGATTTAGGTGTTTATATGCCAAGTGCCATGTAATTTGAAGTGTGTAGTATTCCGTCCACGAGACATGGTAGCCATGGTTCTGGGAGGTTTTATTTGTTCTCCTTGTCTATCTGTGTATGTTATTCTTGTTTTGGTTTTGATGAATGCATAGGGAGATTTGGATTTAGGCAGTTACCCTTATTCTACATGAACCCAGAACTCTGCAGAAAGCCTGACTTTGGAAAGAAAACCTAAGCATAAGAATGTCCCTAGTGTTATCTCATCTATTGGAAGGATACAAACTATAAGGGATAGACACAAAGCGAGATGGCCTTGAGGAAGTCTGAAAATTGAAAACTCTTGTCCCAAATAAAATAGGGTAGCTTACCTGAGTAAGGTTCCATTGCAGCTGCTGGGCTGGCTGCACCCCGTACACAGTCTGGGGCATAGCTGCCATGCCTGCCATGTAGCCCGCCTGCTGGGCGGTCATCATTCCGTTTGGCACGCCCATCACTGGAGCCTGCATACCGCCCATATAGCCTGCAGGCACGGCCATGGGGGCAACCATCCCGGAGGCTCCTGGCTGAGCTACCATGCCTACTGGTGGGGTCATCATGCTTCCCATTATGCTGTTAGGGGGTGCAACCCCAGGGAAGCCAGGGTAAGCTGTGGGATATGCCATCTGAGCAGGAGCCATGAACATCGCTGCCAAGAAAACACACACACAGATCTGTTAAGAAACCACACAAAGTCAGTCCAAAGTGTCACTGGCTATGCCTTTTGCTCTAGAATTTCTCAGGACTACTCAACTCAGAATGCTCTTTTACAAAGCAAAACAGTGAGTTAGACAGAATCCCTGCAAGGCTTGCTATGGCTTACCACCGGTGGGTTTCTGACCTCGCCACATCCCCTTTAAGGTCTAGATACAGACCTAGAATCAGATGTCACAAAGGTATGACACTGGACCCCACAGAAGAATCTGCTGATACTTTGTGGCTTCATAAGAAATGTCATTCATGCGCAGGCTTGTTTGGAGTATGATGTCACAATCCCACAGCAGCTGCCCCAACACAACGAACAACTCCCGCACTTAGTCCTCATGTCTCTGCCTGGCACGTTGGCACGACCCCCACGGAATCTACCTTGAGCAGGCATCTGCGGCGTCTGGGACCCGTACAGTGAGAGGATGGAGTCTTTAGAGAGCTGTTTCTTGCTTGTTTCTTCTGATTTGCTCCCTGGCTCTGGAAACAGGTTCAGGTTTTCAGGAACAGAGCCGGCACTCCCTGCAGTTGGCATGGAACCTACAACCTTGGGGCACAGAGCGCAGGGGGAGAATTGGATGGTCCCCAGGCGGGGTCTCCGTAGGGACCTCCCTCATCGCTCTGCTGCTTCTAACTTTTGCAATAAGAATTCATAGCTGAAGTTAATAGCCTTCTGACATTTTTATCATACAAATATCTGAAAACACCTGATAGTTAAGCTATGGAACAATACTTTGTTCTTTAACAAAACAATGTGATTTGCTAAAATAAATTACAATAAAATTTAAAAATAAAAGCAATCTATAAATGATGCAGCCAGAAGTAACTGAATTTAGATACCAGAGTAGCCATTTACTTGTTGTATATCAAGAGGTTAGTCAATAAATTTTCTGAACTAATGTTTCCTCATCTATAAAATATCCATTTTGGCCCTGACTGGTGTAGCTCAGTGGATTGAGTGCAGGCCTACGAAGCAAAGGGTCGCTGGTTCGATTCCCAGTCGGGGCACTTGCCTGGGCTGCGGGCCAGGTCCCCAGTAGGGGGTGTGCAAGAGGCAACTACACATTGATGTTTCTCACCATCTCTTTCTCCTTCCTTTTCTCTCTCTCTTTACAAATAAATAAATTAAATCTTTTTAAAAATATCCATTTTGCAGGGTTGTGGTGAAGATTTCAAATTATAAATGAAATATACAAAATAATATACAAAAACACCTAGCACTGTGTATGGTACATAGCAAATATTCCTCAAATAGTAGCCATCAAATGTTTCCAGTCTTTCATACCTACAAATTCTCTGGCAATAACTCAGGCTGAGGAGTTGACCTAAAGTATCAGTTTTTACAACCTGACACCCCTCAGACAGAAGCCCATTCAAAGGGCCCACTCTTGGGGGGCAGGAGAGAATGGAGTGAATAGTAAACTTAGGCTGTAACAGAGGCAACACAGTGTTAAGGAAAGAATCAAGAACCAAGAAAACCAAAGTTCCATTCCACCAGGGAGGCATGACTTGGATCCATGATTAAGTTATCAAAACCACCCTTTTCAGAATCCTCTTTAAATCCCGAGGAGCCCACAGGACTCACCTGTCTGGAAACCGAAGAAGAGGGGGATGGAACAGAGGCCAAAAGGTCTAAGTCCTTCTCCAGGGTATTGCTGGTCTTACTGCTCACAATGGAGCAGGCCACAGGAGCGTCTGGGAAGGAAGACCGAGGTTACAATGCAGCACTGCTCACGAAGCCCACGCCTGCCTTCTACTGTAGACACAAAGACGACCGAGAAGGCCCATATGCTCCATCATGGACCTGGAAATCCAGGCTTCTGGAATCGTCTCGCTTGGATGGCGCATCCCAAGAGAGGCCTCACCCCCCGTTCTCAAGCGCACTCCGGAGAAATGTGTAGCCCAGCTACCGGGCCCAGGGCAGCAGAAACCCAGGCCTGCAGGCTGCAACAGCACCACGGCAAGGGGGCTGGCTAGCTCCTTCCTGGCTGAGGGACAAAGCCGTGTAGGACTGATTTTCAGAGAGAAATTAAAGATATAGAAATTAGAAGCCTAAGTAGCCAATAACCTAAATCCGCAGAAATGGACTGAAATAAAGACAACCACCAGTACTGTGAAAGATAAAGAATAAGCTACACTTATAAGCTACACTGAAAGGGGCATGGTTTCTAAGACGTGGAGAAAAGTGAGCTCTAGGTGAGGGGTTGCACCTGAAAACTGAGAGGATGGGGGCAAGGCTCACAGGGGCGGGCGCAGTGAAAAGGGCTAACATGCACTGAGTGCGTAGTATGTGCCAGGCTTGGGACTGAGAGATTCAGAGGCATTATCTCACTTCATCCTTCCAACAACACCCTTGAAGTGGAGACTCAGCATCGCCACGTAACACTAAGCGGCAGGGCTGGGACCCTGGCTCCAAAGGCCGTACTGGTAACCACTGCCCCGCTCTGCCGCTCTGACAACGTCTCAGGAAACTCCACCTCGGCGCACTGCTCAGACGTACAACAACAGGAAGAACACGAGAGAACGCTCTCAGGGACAAAGACACACGCCAGAGACTCCCATCTCTACCTCTCTTCCCGGGATCAGAGAGAATTCGTCAGAATTTGTAGATTACGGGAGTGGGAAAGTCTAACTCTTACCAAGGCCCAACAAATCCACGACGGGCGCTGCGGATTTCGGGGAGCTTTTCCGAGGTAGCTGTGGGTCTTCCTTTTTCTGTGGCTGAGGTGAAAATATGTTATAGAGAGAAATAAGCAGGTGTGTTGAACCCTTTTTTCCCCTCTCCACTGCAAAACCACAGGTACTGCTGTGGTGTGGTTGCTGCTGTTCAAAGAGACTTATCAAAGAAACCAAACTCAGGAAGTGTCAGGTGGAAGAATCAGGGGGCGCGGGGCACAACTCAAACCTGAAGTGGAAAACAGAGATACCATCTGTGCTCGCCTGGCTTTCTGAAGAGACAGATCTGTCTGGAACCAAGACGAGCACAGATCGGGGAGCCGACAGAAGTTTTGGGTCCCAGGGAAAAACGAGAATAAAGTAGGTGTCTGATGGCACAAAAGCCAAAAGCCAACAAATCTCCCAGTGATTAGAAAACCTTTAATACTAAAAGGGAGATCAGTCTGAAGATTACTGAATTCACTCTGCCGGTATCACTATTGACTGTGTTCACTAGACAGTGTGATTCGGAATGATGATGAAACACTCTTTCTTAAGCAAACAGTAAAAAGTCCCCTCTCCTAAGATTCCAAGCTCTGATACTGGAGTATCTACTACTACAGCCACCGTATGTCCTGTGGAAAGAGAACAGTGTCCACTTCAATACGACAGAGCAAGAATACGAGAAGTGATTGTTTAAAATGGATCAGCATGGCCTGGCTTCTGGCCTGTTCTTAACTGCAACAGGAAATGAGGTGCAGAAGGTCTAGCAAGAGAAGGACTAGAGTAGGGGTAACATCCATTCAGAAGGTGTCGCACAGCCTTGATATTGCGGCATGGAACGTGCCTCTTGCTTAAATGCAACAGACACGGTTCCTAATCCACCATCTGGCCCCAAAGAGAAGTGTTACAGAGCAGATTAGGCCGCAATTGGCAATGGGAAAGAGGCAGAAATGGCAGCGGGCGATCTAATCCCAGTGTGGAACCCTGTAGCCCCAGGTGCAATGCGCTGCCCCACACCAGCCTCCCCACCTGCGAGCACGCCTGAGGCCGCCCACACAGTGCGGACGCTCTCCCACTTACCATTTTCACTTTCTCAAAAACGACAGGTTCCACTTTTTTCTCTGGAGCTGGCTCATTCCCTCTTTTCCACTTGTCATCTTTTTCTTTCTATAATGATTTTACAAATAAGACAAAGAACACAGGCTCAATGGTGATGAACAGTTTGCTAAATTATCATTCCAAATGTCCAAAGAGGGAACAAAAAAAATCCCTACTGAATCTGATGCAAGAGTCTGACAAGCCTGGGAGCTTCGCGGTGTGGGGCCTGAGAGCCGGCCTCGTCCGCTTCAGCCTCAGTCTCCACGAGGCATCTTTCAAACATCTCAGGCACCTACCCTCCTAGTTCTGTCTCGCGACTCTTGAAACGCACAGTGTAGGCTCTCTGCCGAGGTTAAAGCCTCTCACCCATCTGCTGCCCCTTTCCGACTCAGGTTTGCCTTGCTCATGACTTGAGCCCTCCTACCCCCAATCTTGGCATAATTCAGTAAAAGAAGTTCATGTTCAGACTAACAAATATCCTTTGTGGTTTTATAAATTCAACCATAAGTTCTCTCAATCTTTGCCTCTTTTTTAAAAACTCAGGAAATGAACTATAATTTCAAGCTTAATGATTAGGAAAACAAAAATCAAGGAAATAAAGCCAAAAAAAAAAAAGAGTAAAAGGATTAAAGTATCCCTTTCAGGGTGTCCTGAATGAGCCACCTGTATAAAGCCAAAAAGCACATCAAAAATAAAATATCAGAAAGTCTACCAGTTTGTGTTACTTTCACAGGTAGTTTCGTAACGCTTTCACAGATGCTACTGGTCACATTTTAGAAATCAAATAAACATTTAAATGTTAACCAGAACCACAAGGTAAACTCAAGAACATAGGCATATGAAAGGAAGTACTGCATACATGTGAAAATGTTCAACTTTGCTAATGATCAAAAAGTGCAAATTATGCTTTTTTTTCTGAAAGAAAGACCTTAGTAACACCTAATGTTGGCAGAGATGACATAAAACCCATACTCTGCTATAGTGCTGAGAAGACAGTATCATACAGCACAACTTTTGGAAAGTATGTTGGCATAAGTATGAAAAATGCTGAAACATATTGACCTAGATAATACCATATCTTCTAATATATTTTAAGAAAACAACCCAAAATATGGAAAAGTTCGTATGCACCATGAAATTCACCTCACAATTATTTATGTGAAGAAAAATGTAAATCATGACCTTTATGCCACAGAAGGAAAATGGTAAGATAAACTGTGATCTAAGTACATCAAATAAAAAATACTGAAGTAGCCTTTTGGCAAACAGGAGGTATTTCCCCCCCAAATGAAGACACGCGGTGGGTGAGACAGGGCGTTTTCGTGAGCAGGCCGCCCGTCCTCACGCAGCAGCCTCCCGCCTCCCATCTCCGGGATCCCATCTCCGGGATCCCATCTCCAGGACCACCTGGGATGCCCTCTTCTGGTCTCCGCTAATGTCACGTCTTCAGGTCCAATGCACAGAGGCAGGCACACAGACCACAGTATTCTAGAAAACGGATACTACAGGAAATGGATTCTATAAAGGAAGTGCGTGTGTTTTGGTTTCAAATCCTTCCTGATAAGCCATCCAAGCCATAGCTCTTCAGTGGGTTGATCTTCCTGGGAACAGTTATGGTGGCCTCCAGGTCCCTGTTCTGGATGACTCTGAGGTAAGAGTCCTTCGTACTGAGTTGAGAGGGTTCATCTTTACCTAACTGCAAGTTTTACCTTGCCTTACCTTAACCACTTACTTGCCTGTGTGGTTAATGCCTTTTCACACAACCTCAAAAATCAGTCTGGAGCTGATTCCAGTTCATTCCTTTTCATTCAACGTCAAAAGACCAATTTGGAGCTTTAAATTATGTGGAAGACCTTACAGCCCCATGTAAACTTCATGATTTTACTATCACATCCTCCACTAAAATAACTAACTAGATGGATGACAGATAAACAGGACCTGTGCTAGCATAAGAGAATCCCACACTCTCTACCCTTCGTGTGGCTCAAGAAAGTAGTCAATTATACCTAAGCAAATTTCCTGTAGAACCTTGTCAAAGCTCTCTAGGTAGTCCTATGTACTGGTTCTTTAGTTGACAGTAACCAGGCTTGTATTCTTCCTCCAGAAACCGTGCCATATTTCCTCCTGTGCGTTATGCTGGCCCTCGCTACCACACATCCTGGTCCAGACTCTGACCACGTGCCCGGGACGGAAAGTGCGCCTGGCCGCGGACAGTCTTCCAAGACCCTCCTCAGGACAAAGTGTCCCAGTGCAATCAGCCCATTGACACACAGGAAATATATGCTGCCCAAGTTGAAGAAAACTGGTGATTTAATTACATTTAATTTTGTTGACTTCATTTGTAGAAAAAATATTCATGTATGTATGTATGTATGAAGGGTTTGTGTGGCTGTGTATATATAAATAATATACATATAACATATATATGCACATACACATATAGATGTATGTACATATACTATTCTATTTGATCTCATATGCCCAGCACGTCTGAAGAAATAATTTGGAACTGGAAGTCACTAACACCCAAATACAAATCAAGGCAAAGAACTCACTGACGGTTTGCCCTGTTCACCCAGAAGCCAAAGATTTTTCCATGACATTTCATGGTCTTGATTCAGTAACTGGCCCTTTTCTACTTCTGCATCTTTTTAAATTACTTGTTGTTCAGTTACAGTTGTCCTCATTTTTCCCCCCATTACTGTCCCCTCCCCTCCCCTCCCTCATCTTCCACATCCAATGCCCCCCGCCCCCGCCGCCCACCCCGCTGTTGTCTTTGTCCACGGGTCCTTTATACACGTTCCTTGACACTTCCCCTTCTTTGCCCCATTGTCCCCCAACCCCCTCCCTTCTGGTCACTGTCAGTTCTGTTTCTATTTTGCTCATGTGTTTGTTTTGTTACTTCTGTATTTTTTAAATGATAGTTGTTTTAAGATTTTATTAATTTATCTTCAGAGAAGGGGAAGAGAGGGAGAGAAATGTCAATGTATAGGGGAAACATCCATCAGTTGGCTCTCACACACCCCCAGCTGGGCACCTGGCCTGCAACCCAGGCCTGCGCCCTGACTGGGGATCACACCGGCAACCTGTCGGTTCGCAGGCTGGCGCTCATTCCACTGAGCCACACTAGCCAGGGCTAAATTGTTGGGAACCGCCCTGACTGGTATCAGAAGCTGAAACCCCCGCCTAGCTAAGGCTAAGGGAACGCCCTTGGAACCGTGAGCCAGCAAGGAGACAAAAGCTTGTCTTCCTGGCAGGAATGCTGCTTCTGCTGCTTTATTCATAACTGAACCCCAAAAAGCTTGGTCGGTTAGCCAAAGACGGGTAAGATTCCCCACGGGGGAACGACCTAAGCCAGGCACGATCACTTTGGGAGGCCCCCCCAAAGAAGGACTTGGGGGGCTGCAGCAAAAGGGGGTGATGGACCCTCGCTCCTCGGCTTTGACATAGCCTGAGTTCTCAGCGTCTGGGAGAAAATCTCCTTATCTCTTGGTTACCTAGTTCCCTTGCTCCACCTAAGCCTGAAACAATGACAGGGTGGTGCAGCTCGGTACTGAGAAGTGCGGATTCCCCAGGGTGATCAGGCCTAAGAAAGAATATGTAAATTACTGTGAAACCTTCTTTGTTTAGAATGCTCTCAGTTGAATGAGAAGGGTCTTAGGAGGAAGTTAGTTTGTTCCTCAGTCTTACAGCTCTTTGACCCCCCAACTCAATAGACCGGCAGAGTTCTTTGTTTTCTATAGTTCCTTACTTCCCCTAATGAGTACTGTACTTTACCTGAATTATTATGCAGCATGAGCCCAATAAAAGCAGGTATGGACTGTAAATCGGCGCGCTCCCCACTAGGGGGGGTGGCCATTTCATCCCTACTTCCCCACAGAAACTAGTCTGTCTCTGTGCATGTGTTGTGTTTATCGTCGAGCCATCCACAGCGTTCCGTGGTCACTGCTGGCCGGTGACCCCACGCGCAACACTAAATGATAGTGTTTGAGCATGCTGGTAGGTGTTCTTCAAATTCTTACTGTGAGTAATAAACAGATTACTTATTATAAACAAAACTTGAAAGATTTATAACCAACCCTAAGGGCATTGATGTCCAAACTTCGGTCCATGTATTTCTTCTTCTCATATTTATCTCGAATAAATCCCTCGACAGCTCTGCAAAAAGCTCATTAAGGATAAATCAAGCAAGTCTTTCCCGCAGGATGGCTATAAAAGGTCAACCTGGACCCCGTGGAACGCCGTTCTCCTCTCTGCCTCCTGCCTCTCCACATGCAGCTTCCCGACCAGAACCGTGAAGTGTCTCCTTCGCGGTTACTGCAGGGAACCCTGTTGCCTCTGATTTGCCTTCAGAGAACTGATAGCCACAGGTGGGATTAATTTTCATGTTGACAGCAGAGGAGCCTGTGGCTGTTCTAGAATATGGATAAAGCAGCAGTCAATTACCTATTTTAGAGCCCTTACGTCTAAACAAAGGTAACTGAGTGGCCTTTAAAAATATAGACTCTTGCACCCCATGGCCAGATCCTAATCAGTGGGCTTTCTTTCTGCAGGGTCCCCAATCTGCACTGTAACAGGTGCCACCTGCACCAACCAAAATGTGAACTCTAACCAGATGGTCCACAAACCACATTTTGAGAAGCATTGCCTTTAGAGGGTTTGGTTTCGTGAACTAGGTGCTACCCTATGTTGGCAGTATGGGGGAAAGTTATTAATTGGCCAACAACAGTTAATTCTTTCACATAAAAAGGCCCTAAAAGTGACCAGTAGTTTTGCTGATTCAACACAACATATTAAACTATTTTTACCAAACAATAGCGTCAGAGATCCAAAATCTACTGGAGATGTCACTTTACAGAGGAATTCACAGCTAAAGACTGCAGTCTTAATTCCTGAATGAGTTTTCCCCACGCAAAACCGCCATTCTGACATAGAAAGTTTATGCATTCTTTTTGGGGGTCCTGGTTGCAGGAGACAGAGAAAACATAGCTACAACTAATCCACACAGATCAGATCTGACTTTGCTCAGACAGATCATGGGTCTTGAGTCTATGTGACTCTCCCAAATCACCAAAATACCACTCAGTCTTCTGAGTTGCTCCAGAAAAGATACGGGTCTATCTGAGGTCGCCGGAAGGTCTCAGGAAGGTAGGCTTCATAAAGTCGGTTGGCCTTTCCATTCCCCATCTCTTGCATGCACTGCAGTCAGAGAGATGTGAGAACACAGAATGTCAGAGCTGGGAAGAACTGGAAAACTCAACCAATGACAGCATTTTACAATTGAAGAACCAGCCTAGTGAGTGGCAGAACCAGGATTGAAACCCGTGTACTTTGATTTCTGACCCACGATTCTCTCTCCTTTGCCCCCAACCATCTGCCCCCAAAATTGTCTTTCCCAACCCCAACCCCTATGAGCTCCTCTCCCTGAAAGATCTGACACGGTATATTTAATTCAGTCATAACTCAAGATCCCATTTGAAAGTCCAAGACACGCAGCTACCAATCAAAACGTCCACTTGGCAGCAATAATCAGCGCCTCGTCGGGCAGGCAACACACAGGCAGTAACTACGTTTGGAATTTATACTACTGATTAACCTGCTCAGCTTAGTTACCAATAAATGTGTTTTAACTAGGCTTTTTTTTTTTAATTGTAGAGGGGAAAGGACGGGGAGAAACATGGATGTGACAGAGAGACATCGACCGGCTGCCTTCCACACCCGCTCCAACGGAGGAGGGAACCTGCAGCCCAGGCTGGGGCCCCTACCAGGCGCCAAACCGGCAACGCTTCGGTCTGCAGGACAGTGCCAACCCACTGAGCCACACGGGCCGAGGCTTAATAAACTCCTTAACACTTGTGAGAGATAAATCCCAGGAACTTATAAAATATTAAAATTCCCAAATGCTCCAAGGCACGTAATTTCCTTCATAAGATACAGGAAAGTGAACTGAAAAATACTGATATAGCTCAATGTTTAGACCTTTAATAAATCTACAAAAACAGCCTAAAGTATTTCTAAAGTCATGTTCTGGTTAAGAATAACCTCTTATTTCCACTATCAACTTTAGCAACGGGTTTTCTTTGGAGCAACTCTTCCACCCTCAGAAAGAGAATATTGTTTCTAATTAATTAGTACGAGAAGTCTCAGTACAGGGAGAGAACAGGGAAGACGAGGTCACACGGAGGTGCCGATCTGAGGCCAGCTGGGCTCACTGACCCAGGGTCTCACCCCCAGCCCACCAACCTGACAGCAAGCAAGAGGCACATGTGCATTTTAGCAATAAAATGTTACAAGTCTGCAAGTTAGAGGGTGTTTTTTTTAATTTTGTTTTTAGAAAATATCTAAAACTACAAATGTTAGATCTGCAAATGCCAAGAGTCTTAGAAAACAATCCAAAGATCCCCCTATCCACCCTCCTGGATACATGGGGTCCTAGACCACAGGCTATTTGCATTTTGAAGTAAGTAAAATAAAGGTAGAATAATTTGTATTTTAAATAGAAAGATGAAAAATTTCTCTATTAAGGTATGAGAATTTGGCATAAGCATTTGACAACTAAATTCTCCTGTATCTTCTTCACCTTTATGCCCAGTTTGAAGTTCATCCCGAACTACAGTAACTCACTTTGGGTCGCATAAGTACCTGAATCTGTTCTTGAGTCCACTGGTCAAGGTTAACTGATTTTACCCTGGATATGTGCACCCCCAGATTCCTGTGGATTCCAGCACATCGGATGCAGATGAACACACCGATGTTCCAGGAGGCCCATCGCGGCCCTGTGAAGGTCAGGAACAGGACAGTGAAGTACAAATTAAAACAATGTTCAAGGCCCAAGCTGTAATATTTAGATTATCAAACATTTCTGCTACAATGTAAGTGAGAGAATTGTTACCACAATCGCCTCTCTACTGGTTTTGTTCACTCCACTATGGGTCAGCTTTTTTGTTGTTGTTTTTAATTTTTTTTTAACTATATCATACAGTGGTTTTTAGTATACAGGGTGAGACAAAGATAGGTTTACAGTTGTTCATATGGAAAATATAGAATAATTAATAAATAATAATACAAGAATAAACTCTGTTTCGAGTACCCACAACTGTAAAACTACTTTTGCGCCACCCTGTATTCACACAGCTGTGCAACCGTCACCACTGTCTAATTTCAGAACATTTTCATCACCCCCAAAAGAAATCTCAAACCCATAAGCAAGCACTCCCCATTCCTCCCAACTCCTGCCTACCCCCACCCCAGGCCTGGCAACCATACATTTAATTTCTGTTTGTACAGATATGCCATTGCGTATAAATGGAAGTACACATTCTTGTGTGGAGTAGCTTTTCACAATATCTAATCATATGGGTATTGAGATGTAGATGCTATAATATTGTTGCTTACACAAAGAAAAACCCTAGGAGAACAGGGCCCAGTTATGTCGCACTGTACTCAGTCCCACATGAACAGCCCTCCCTCAAGCAACTTTTCAATGGTGGTGGGCCTGGACTCACTTTTCCTGCTAGGAAAAAAGATACAGTCATGCCATGCCAGCCCGAGGTTCAACCTGAAATTTAAAACTTTGTTTATCCTCTTCTCCCTACCAGGCCCATAAAATATGCATCCAGATGAACTTAATAGGAGAACCTTGGGCTGATGCCCCTGCTTTACCCAAATACAGAATCACCTAGACCATAGGTGGCACACACACAAGGCCCACGGGCCGAATCCAGCCCTCCACCTTGTTTTATCCAGCCCGCACCTTGTTTCTACCCAGCGGCAGTGCCGAGCTCTCACTTAACTGTTAAGCAGTAGTTACATTTACACAGTCCTAAAATTACATTCAGCCCTTTGAAGGCCACCGCGAGGCTGATGAGGCCCCCAGATACAATGAGTCTGATACCCCTGATCTAGATTCAAGACTGTCACATAAGGATGCTCACTGAAATAAAACAAGAAATCTTAGATATGTATTTTAATGAAAAACCATTACATAATCTCTCATTCCCTGCCAACTTTGCTCACCCTAATAATCACTCTGGAAAACTATCAAACTTGTCTTCATAATTTTTTGCAGGAAAAAGCAACTTACTTTTATATGATACCTGCCAAAGACTTATTGAAAAATCACTAATGTTTCCTCCTCCATCATTCCACTAGGCAGAAATTTACCACATAAAATAAGCATGATATCAAAGTTAGCAGTTATGATAAAGAGGTGAAAAGACACAAACTGATCTTCTTCAGAAAGAAACAGGACTTTGTGTTTTGAGCAACTAAGGGTGAGAGGCCAGACGCAGACAACTGTTCAGCTGGTCTGCAGTTTCGGACAGCAGTTCAATAAAGGAATGCTAGAATCATATGCCAGATTATTCTCAGAAATTTGAATCCACAGTTATTATAAGTTAGAATGCAATTTTTTGACAAGATATCACTAACACACTATGGCAAGTACTACAAACACAGACGGCGCAAATCCTCCTTATGGCCACCAGGTGGTGTGCTCTGCCGGAAACTTCACCCCAGTACTTTCCCATCGCTATGATCGCAGCAGACTCAGATTTATCTTCTAAAATGACCTTCAGTCCCTTTGAGTCCCTAGATGGATTTGCATAGTTCTGCTGTATAGCTAATCCACACACAAATGATTCACACACTTCTTCCTGTGACAGGGAGTCACATAAACACAAAACGAAAAGCTCAAACAGATATGAGTGAAATTTCACAGGAGGCTGTATGTCTATTTTAGGTTGCAGATTTCATAAAGGAATTCAGATATGATCTAAGTTATGTAGGGTTAAAAATGGGAGTAAAAGTTAATGGCTCAAGTTTCTTTACCATTTTCCATTTGTTCTAGATTCCAGAACTCATGATAAAATAGTTAAAATATATTTGTGAACAAATCCAGAAGCCAAAAACACTGATTAAAGTAAGCTGTGGAGCACAGGGAATATAGTCAGTAATGCTGTAATAGCTACGTATTACTATGTACGGTCCACACATATATAACTACGTGTAGTGTCGGACAGGTACTAGACGTATGGGGTGATCACTTCATAAGTTACATAAATGTTTAACCAGTATACTGTACATCTGAAACTAATATAATATTGAATGTCAACTGTAATTGAAACAAATTTTCTTTTATTTTTAAGAGTTAAATTAAAAAGTTAGCTAGGGAATGTGGGTTACGCTGTTGGCTCCCTGGAGAAGGCGATTCCCAGTCCTCTAAGCCACCACCATCACAACTGTGGAACTTCTCCAGACCCCCTTCCAGAGACTCTGCCTCTGAGGAACAAAAGACTAAGACCTGATACTCTGGAGCTACTAACAAGGCCGTGGTGCAGAAATACAGGCAGTAATACTTTCACGAAAAATCAGGAGAGCCTCCTCTGCCCCCTCCCACGCCCCTCCTACAACCTTTCCCCAGGGAAACAGTGATAGTTCTATCCTGGGCACTCAGCCTCCTTTAGTTTTAAGCCACTCGATTTATCAGTCAATAGCTGCATGTTCCATAAAAGGTTCTAAAATTGGAGAAGAAAAAATAAGAAACAAAAGTTACTTATATGGCTGAAAATGTGGGAAAACTGTGACATTATTAAAAGTACAGTCTTGCCCTGGCTGGTGTGGCTCAGTGGGTTGAGTGCTGACCTATGAACCAAAGGGTCGCCAGATCAGTTCCCAGTCAGAGCACATGCCTGGGTTTCGGGCCAGGTCCCCAGTAGAAGGAACATGAAAGGCAGCCACACATTGTTGTTTCTCTCCCCCTCTCTCTTTCTCCCTCCCTTCCCCTCTTTCTAAAAATAAATAAACAAAATGTTTTAAAAAATAAAAGTACAATCTTTGCACCAGATAAAACTTAGACTTGTATGTCAGCTCCATCAATAATTAGCTGTATGACGTTCAGAGAGATACTTAAACTTCCCAAAATATCGGTTTCATCATTTATAAAATGTATATAATAATATCTACCTCACAGTTCTTAGAATGCAGAGGGACAGTGGTATCAAATGAGATTTCCAGAACCTATTTCCAATTCATCCTCCTCATTGATAAGGGCTGGTTAATTCATTCATATGTATATGCCACCACTCCATACAACTCTAGAGAATGATTCTTGTTAGACAGGAATGAGTTCCAGTCCTAAAGTGTCAGAACAAAAGTTGACTGACTGAATAGAAGAAGGAATTTAACCTGGATCCAATTTCAAAGTCTTCTAGAAAACATGAAATTTTAAGCAGCTTCCTTTATCTCCCTCAAAATATTCCTTGAAAATGCACGATGCAAACCCCCAGCTGCCTCCCTTCTCTGCTACCTAGCCCACGCTGCCCCTGTGCCCGCACAAGCCTCCACTGCGCATACCAAGGAGGGCCCAGAGCTGTCAATCCGGCATGCTTGGATTCCACAGCACCTGGCACTGCTGCTACAAGGCCAGAGGACTTAAGTCTGGTGCACTTGCAAAGATAAACCAATTGTCCAGTACACATCAATCATGGCAACCAGGAGAAAAATATAAAAGATACCATTTTGAAGTTGAAAATACTGACTCTGAGAGGCAATATTCTGAACACTTTTGAAAGCAGAGGATGGACAAAAGGATGATATTAATTGGTGGTGATGAGCACAACACAACAAGGTCATGGCTCAGGAACCATAAGCAATATTAAAATTAATATATAAGCCCTAGCTGGTGTGGCTCAGTGAATTGAGTGCCAGCCTGCAAACCAAAGGGTCACAGGTTCAATTCCCAGTCAGGGCACATGCCTGGGTTGCGGGCCAGGACCTTAGTTGGGGGCCGTGTGAGAGACAACCACGTATGGATGTTTCTCTCCCTCTTTCTCCCACCCTTCTCCTCTCTGTAAAAATAAATAAAATCTTTTAAAAAATTAACGTATAATTGCAGTGATACTTCAATAAGGAATCAGTGAAAATAAAGAAGCTATATGAATGTGGGGTATGAATTAAGACTGTAGTAAGTACCAGCACCAGGGAAATCTGGGCTTACACTGACAAATACACTGGACTTTCACTTTGATGTCTCTCTAGGGATTATGACTCCATTTGTAAAATGGAAAGCACATAAGTAATATCCAATTTATATTCAAATCCTGGACAGCTTCTGCTGTCCAGTAACTTCTGGTGCTCTGCTACAAATTTCTCTTGCTGCTGAAACTTCCCCCATGACCAGAGCTGCTAGGCTTAGAAGGATTCTGGGCTTGAGAAGTCAGCAGAGATAACAACTAGAGAGTTACAGATAGAGCTTGAGCTACTATTATCATAATTACAGTTCGATGGCTTCTAACCTATGGAGTTCCAAACAAATAAATGTTGAGGGGAAAAAATGAAATATTTTAAAAATCAATGTCCATATGTAGACTTGCTGGCATCATAAAGCTGTTGAAAAGCTCTTTAAAGGTCAAGGGTGGGAGAGAAAATCTCTTCCATCTTACATCCAAGCCCTGTTGCATCTACCTTGGAAACTTTCCCAAAATCTATCCATCTCTACCTACACCTCTCATCTCTCGCCCCTAACCAGTCATTCTTTCAATAGTGTTTGAGAATCTACTATGTGCCAAGCACTCTGTGTGCTAGTTATTACAGATACATAGGCAGAGACAATAAAGATGAGATTCCCGATGCAAAGAGCTCACGGACTAACAACTAACTGGTCTCCAGACTCCCACCAGGATCTTCCTAAAACAGAAATCTCCAGCTCAGGCCTCCATGTACAAACCTTTCATGTAGTTTCATGTAAAAGGTGAAAATGCAAATGGCATAAATTTTC